AAGTAAAGTACACAAACAATTATAACAGACTAAGTAAAGTACACAAACAATTATAACAGACTAAGTAAAGTACACAAACAATTATAACAGACTAAGTAAAGTACACAAACAATTATAACAGAAGAAGAATGGTTGTGATGAGAACGTGCGGGAAATAAGACCACCATTTTTACACCATCCTGAATCAAACAAGTTTAAAGATTAAAATAATTATATATATATAAATAAATAGATGTGTATAACAGATAATCTAAGGCTAACAAGGGACCTATTAGTCCATCCCATCCACTATGTCAAACTCTGAAATAAAAATAAATAGAGTGTGGCCAGAGTTTTAAAACTCAAACAGACATTGACAAGGGATTGGAAAAAAATTGCATCAAAGGCACTTATTAAATGTTCTAAACTCATTTTGTAGTGGGATAACACCAATGGCAAGAAAAAACTAAACTTTAAGATAAAAGGATGTCTATATAAATCTTTATTTTTACAATGTTTCGGGCCTTTTCATCAGGCAGCAATGTTACATACATTTTTAAGATACTTACTTTATTGAGCACCTGAAGACTAATTTTGTTCCTGGAAATGATAAGGTGAACAGTAGGACCGAATTTAGATATCTTGCCATCTTTTGTGAGGCTTTAAAAGGTTATCCCCAGCACAACCCTGTACCATTATCATTAATGAATATATATCAGGACATGAACAGAATGTCACCACTTTTAGTAATCTTTCATTTTAACAGGCCTATCTGTGTCTTACTTCTAATTGTTCAAGCTCAGAACAAGTTTAATGTCCTTATCTTTTATTTTCCCAAATTTCTTGAATTTAGAAGAAACTTTGTTTTTATGAACACAGTTTTTAGGTCAATGGAGAATGTAAAGCGGGAATGAGATAGCAGCTTTTAGCGAACGTCAAATTAATAAAAAAATAATTTTTCTGAATTTGACACCCAAGACAGTTATCTACCAACCAAAGCCAGGCTTGGTGTGTAGACGGTAACTTTAAAAGTCATTACTTAAAAGAAAAACTCAGGCTGATACAAGTACTCTTTCTGTAAAATTCCAAGACGAATTTTTTAGGTTTATGAAATTATGTCCATTAAAAGTGTCGGCGTTACTGTTTTTTTTCTTCCTCATTTAGAAATTAATTTACAATTATTTTATGTTAGTGGCAATGGTTGATTCTTTCGTGAGATATGGTCAAGGACATTGTACTATCGTTCACATTTACTTGGAAGTTATTACTTTTACAGTTAAAGTATCTATAAAAGTTGTTATTTGACTGTAATTCAGAAATTTCTGTGAGTAAACATGATGTGTAGCCACATTTTTGACTTCAATAAGCAAGTTTTTTTTTAAGTACCTTTCTTGGAAACCTTTCACTACAAAGAGTAGAATTCTTTTACTTACAAAACTATCTGTCTTGTAGGATGTGCATGAAATCAAGACTGGATGTGATTGGCAAGATGCATTGAATTATGCAATTAGTCACTGCTCTGTTTTTGTACCTCTGATCACTCCAATGTATGGAAAGACTCTGTGGACTAACAGAGAGGTAGGATGAACCGTTTTTTTCTTACATTCAAACAAGATGTACAATGGTAAATCTTACAATAAAATAAATAGCGTATATATATGTATCTATATAGGTATGCGACCGAAATAATAAATACAATGTGGCGCCATCTATTGAATGGCACCAGAAACCATTTTTTTATCAACAGAAAACAACTTTAAATAAAAAATATCTCCTCACAGCGAGAACACGACTTTCACTAGGCCTTTACGTGAGGGTTTGGTTATATCTTTATTAAATACAGTACTAAAAAAAAATTGGGAATGGAGTTCTAAAAAAAAAACTTATTTTTTCAATCTAGGGTACCACTTTTAATATGTAAAAGCATTACAGAGTATATTAGAGCAATCCAAATACTTTTCCAATACAGTACTTCCCAGGAAAAGCCTTTTTTTTTTCTTAGAAACTGTTCACTTTTTTCTAATTTTTGTTTCAATGCGGTATGAATATTATGTCATTTTTGCTAGTAAGTTTAATTAATGGCATGCCCATTATACAGATAAATTGATAATACCTGATAACGTTGATAATATGCATAAAAGAAAGGTGTACTCAGGATATAAGACAAAATTTATAATCTATTTTCCAGGTGAAACTGGCCGACGTGCTTAACAAGTTGATAATTCCAGTTAACTTTCTTGACAAATGGCCCCCAGAGTGCCTTGCGATCCAGTTTGCATCAACACAGTACATATCCTGGAAAACGCCAGATAGTGATCACAGTAAGTGACTCTACTTTTTGTGGACTTAACGACTCTTGTTTTACGAGAGGTTGTTTTGGAGATCAAGGTTTCTTCGCCTAATTTGATAGCCAAATGACCCCCCCCCTCCTTTTTTGTCATTCCCTTGAAATATAATGAAATTCATAGGTTTTGGCCCCCGAGTTGAAACACCCAAGAATAGATAAAAAAAACTTTAAACTGTCATTTAGTTGTCTTTACCTCAAAATTAATTATAAAATCATATAAACTTATGCTTTATTGTGCTTTATAAATGATTAAGTCAATTTTTACTACAGGAAATATATATTTTTGGTTTTATGAGTGCGGTGTTTGTGCCAAATTTTTAGATTTTCTCATTCGTTCTCGCATTTCAGTTTAATGTCTGGTGGAGAGCCGTAAGTTCAAAATTCAAAGTACTCTAGAAGTGTGGTGTGCAAATTTAGGGGTATAGA